CTGGCCTGGCACATGGTCCCCACAAGTTAATGCACCCCCCGGTGACAGTGCAAACAGCCTGAGGCTCTAGAAAGTCGCATGGCAACACACCCGTGACAAGCAGCACAGGCAGTGCCAGTTCTGAGGCGACTGGAGCTGTGCCATGCTGTGGGGGAAGGGGCTCTGACAGCAGTGGGCCCTGAGCACCCCAAGGCCGCTGCTGCGGGGGGGGTGGAAAGGAGGCTGTATGCCCTGCAAGGGACCCACACCCCCTGCCTAGCCCCCCCTCCCACAGTCCCCCCACACAAGCAAAGCCCTCTCCCCTGCACAATCTCCCCCTCTGCCACAGTCCCTCCTTACCCCCTGACAGCACCTGGATCCCTATCCTTGCTGCCCTTCTGCTTGCCACAGCATGCTAAGGGTGTGTGCCCCACGTGCTGGGGCAGCAGCACAGAGATACTCTGGCCAGAAACAAGAGCCTCTTTCGAGAGGACCAGCTTCCCAGTTACCTCAGGTAACCTGCCCCCCCTTCCCCCCACCAAGGTATTTTTTTATACCTGGATATTCAGGTATCGTATTTGAGCCTGTGCTACAAATATGCAGTGTGGAGAACATATTTTCATTCACACTGTGCCTCTGGCAGCATCTCAAACTGGTTTGGGATGCTGCAAGAGGCATGTGTGCGCTCATCTGGATGCACCCATCAATTGCAAAATACACTACTATAACATATCATTTATCTAAAGATCTTAGAAAATGCTTATAAAGATTACAAACTTAAAATACATAATAATTTTTTGAAAGAAGAAATCTTTCTGTTTTACTGAGCTTCAATGTGGTTTAATGGCCCTCTATATCAGTTCAGTTTCTCATTCCCAGCTACTCCAAGGAAATTCTTTGGTGTCATACTATCACCTCAAACTTCAGAACTCTCAGATTAGAACTGATCTTTGCTTTTATACCTTCCTAGTTTCATTAGCCATGTTTGCGAACTCCAAAGTCAGTATTCACTGGCCTCTTCATATAACCAGTCCTCATAATTCCCATTATTTCTTCCTCTTCATTTTCACTATTGTTCCAACTTGCCACACCAGATCATCTCTCATTCTTGAGAATTTCAAAAATCTGTGCTCACCACTTCTCAATTTTCCTATTTATATAATTCCAATGTACTTAATGCCATCTCCATTTCACCCACCAACTCTTTTTTGGAAATGTCACAATCCTTTCCATTGCTTGGTGCAACAAATTGATGCTTCTTGTCTTCACATATAATGCTCTAGAAAAGTCTTTCTTCCACTTACATTTCGGCTCTCATTTCTTTCACCATACTCAAATTCCTATACTTTTCCCAACTTCTTCCCTCATTTCTTCTTTCTTCTCTTCAGATTTCTCTGCCTTCTAAAATGCTGGTAACCACACCTGAGGCATTCCTGACCTCAGCTGATGAATGCCCTTTTTGCCCTTCTGCAAATAAATCCAGCTAATTATGAAACTGTTCATCATGAGTAGCCCTCTAACTTGCTCTCTCAGAAATACTGTAATATTAATGCCTTGCATTTACCTGAACTTAGACTAATCTCTTCAGGATGTAGAACATACCCATATTCTGCAAAAGCACCAACAAATAACTTTATTTTACTAGATGAAGTTTTACTATTTAATTTCTTTGATATGGCTGCAAAAAGTGTCTGCCAGCTCTGGCACTATACCAGGGTGGGCAAAGTCAGGCCAATGGGCTAGATCAGGCCCACAACAAGCTCCATTTCCCAGAAGCCCCTGCCTGCATTGCTCTGACTGGTTTCCATGGAGACCCTAGGAGAGATGGGCCCCAGGAGACCCTGGCCCCATGCTGTCAAGGCTCTGCTGCTCCTGGGGTCTCCATGGAAACCATCCAGAACAACGCACGTAGGGGCTGCTGGGAAATGGAAACCCACCTGCCGGATACACCATTTTGCCCATCCCTGAACTAAATATTAATACAAATGCATTTCACACAAAAATGTGCGTATTTTTCTAGAGTTTTAGTCTCCTTCAAATTTTTGCATACCTTCCACTACTATTAATGGGCGAACTGTGCAAAGAAGGACTGCTGAACAGACTTCTATGGAATGAAAGCAAATTAGGTCAAAGTTTACACCAATTACACATTTTCTTCTGAACGCTGCAAAAAATGCCTTTGCGCTCAATGTCTAAGATTAGATTGTTTTAAAAAATAATCTTTCCATAGTGCCCTGGCATAGAAAAAGATTTTGCATACATACAAAAACAAATCAAACAAATAACACTCCCCCCAGCTAACCCAAGGTCACTTCAGTAAATTGCAAAGGACAACATTTACCATCTGTTGTGGTTAATATGTGGAAATATGATTAAATTATCTTTATTTGGGCCTATAAAAATTAATCTCTGTTCAAAAATCCTTTAATTTGTTCTTATGCTTTCCTTCTATTTATAATACAACAAGATTCAATAAGTGGTTTACATTTTATACTACCACTGTAAGAAAATCCAATAAAACATAAAATGGAAAAAAATAATGAAACTAAAGTATCTAACTTAGGGCTTCATAAGCCAATTTTCATTTATTTTCTTGGGAATTAGATCAACAAGATGTTTTTCATTTCCTTATGAGGCTTCTAACCTGAACATATTAAGTGCCAATTACTGCGTCAGTGTTATTATACACTTTTATTTCTTGGTATGATGGAATCAAATGAAATGGAGAACATTTCAAAGCTCTTGCTATATCTGTCTTGGTTTGAATATTTAAATCCCACTGTCCCTTATCTTTACCAAAAGGAGTATATTTAGCTTAAAGCATTTTTATAGTATTAGTTAACTGTCACTTCATCTCTATGAATGATCTATTTCTTTCACATTCCAAAATACTACTACCTTTCTCCACTACATAAGTTACAAAATGGGGAGAGGCAGGAAAAGAAAGTATACACTTACTGGGTAAATGTACAATAGAATTATTTTGTCACTGTACTGAGGTACTTGATAAGGACAAAACAATCTTATGATAGTATTCATCATAGTACCAGTAATAAATTTAAAAACCCACCAAATATGTTCACTTTTAAGTACTGAAAGGATGCACCTTACTCAGGGTCTCATCACATCTTCAGGTTCCTCTTGCGCTATCTTGTTTAATAGCTTGCATTTGGGGAACCACAGAGGTGTCTTCATTTATAAAGAGTGAAAATTGTATTGAAAGCAACTCTTCCATTTTCCCCACTGGTACAGGCTGCTTGCAGGTCTTCCCTAATTGTGATATAAGAAGGACAAAGCAGCCCAGTTCTAAAATGAAACTGTCCTCTCTGATCTAATAGAATCATTGAACAAGTCAAATAAATGGAAAAAGCAAAACAAGTAAAAGTTTAATACATTTGTTAAAGTTCAAGAGGTCCCTCATAGAAGGTTGTTAAGGAAACCATGTTGTGACAGAGAGATTTGAACTTCTGCTCTTGGCTAGAAATTAGTTCAAAGATAAAGAACAAAAAGAAAGGAATAAATGAACACTCTTCAACAGGTAAAGAGGCTAACAACAAGGTGAATAAGACACCTTGCTCAGACTGATGTAAATTCATACATTCATTCATTCATTCCATGCCCAGAAAAAGATGTGAACAGTACAGTGATAATTAAAATGGGAAGAAGACGGATAAAATATTTGAACTAGTTTTTCACTGTCATTTTCTTGATTTAGGGATCCCAATATAGATCTGAATGTCCCCACCCCTTATATCATATCTTCACAGAAGAGGCCCTCCGTGTTTGGATATTCGTGCAGAATTTGGGGCAGATTTGCAGACTGTTCTATCAAGGTGAAGGATTCCAACACCTTCCTCCCACCAGTGACTGGGGAGGAATGAAAAGATACTCTTTCAGGGTCCCTCCCTTCTCAAGAGACTATTTCTGATTTTTGCTATAGTAGGGGAAGTTAAGGCTGTCAGGTGAGACAGAGACATAAGAAGTTTACTGTAGACAACGGGAAGGAAATGCAAACTTAAGAGAAAAATTTGAACTAAGGAGGCACATAAGTGATTTCTAAACTAGCTGAAACTCAGGAAACATTGAGGCATCACTAAGGACAACTAAAACATGTATCTGATCAGTATGTAGTGATGGTAAAAAACAGATGATGTTAGTTTTTATTACTAAAAAAAGATAATATATTAAAAGTGACTTTGATATAAATTGATTGTACTAGTTCACCAGGAGTCCATTGTTCAATTCTGGTCGTGAAATATAACCATATCAAGAAAAGGCTGTAACAGAGATAGAGGATGGCAACATAATGGTTAGAGGTATAGAAGGACTTCCCTGTACAAATAAAAAACGGCCCTGTAGTACAGCAAGTAGGTGTAGAAGAGGCGAGCTGAAAGAGGCATGAGATTTTACTTCCTTCTCATAATAAAAGACCAGAGGGACACCCACTGCTATTTAACACACAATATAAGAAATTTGTTGGATTCATTCACATAAGACATAACAGACAGCCTAGGATAAAAGGGGGGAAAAAAAGAACAGTATAATGTACTGTACAGATATATCTGTCAGTGTTATCCGTATCTACATAAGCAAAAGACAGACATGTGTAAGGTCTATAAATTCTCCTGCTTCAGAGTATTACCCTACCATTAATTATATGAGGTTACAAAGAAACTACCCCAAGGGACTTGTTAGTGCCTAACTGTACCTTATAGGACTTTTTAAACACCTCTCTCCTCTGAAGCATTAAGTTTTGGCCACAGTTTGAGGCAGAAGTGGTCCAATGATCTTATCCAGCATGGTTTGTATGTTCTTATTTACCAAATTTCTAGTGTTTTCTATACAGCCATCCATTTTTGTTTTCAGGTACAGAAGGAAGAAAAACAATAAGCTTGCCTTGAGCAGAAGAAATATCTAGAACAGACTTCACTATGTATTAAAAAAGAATAGGATTAGCCTCCATTTCATACTATTCGCTAATAGTGAATTAACATGGTATCAGCTGTAAGGAAGCTGCTCACCCTTTGCTTTCATCTGGTAGTAGAGGTCATTGTCTTATTCCAGCAGATTGAATTCCAGGGTCATTGTTCCACAGAAGATACAGACCTATGAACCAACAAGGAGAAATTCAGAACACAATATTGTTTGACAAACAGCCTATCAGCTGGAAATGGAAAAAAAAATCTTTAACAGAACAGAATACTAAACATTTCTAATGAAGAAATACATTTATAACTTCAGTATTTCATTAAAATAGAATAAACTGTGCTAAAAATCAATAAAATTATTCAATTTAATTATTTGAATTTTCAGTCCCTTTAGTGCCTTCCTTTTTGAATTTGTCAGTAAATGCAGCAAGAAAGCAAATATTACAGAACTTTTAGAATTTATTCCCTGAATTGCTTGGGCACAGAAAGGCATATTTGAAAAAGTCAAAGGGCAGCAAAACAGGAATAATGGTAGACTATCTTGAAGAAAGCTCTTCCATGTCAAATCAAATATGGAGCCAAGAAATGCTAATCAGCTTGTTTATATCCTTCTTAATAGTGTTTTATTAAAATAAATTCAACTATTGTTATTATTGGGGGAAAAAAAAAAACAGTCTACCACATGATAAGATATGCAAAACATAATGTAAGGAATCTGTGGCCTTATTCATAGCATATGCACTGAAATAACAAGATAAATCACTGACTTATTAGACAATATAAAAATCTTTGCCAAAATTATCACTTGAAATTAGCTTAAATATTAAATATAATTATGCTTGATGTAATAAATACTAATTTTAAGAGTAGTGAGGCAGAAATTATGGACACGCACCAAGAAACATGGTTCCTGAAAATGCTAAAAGCAACACCCCAGTGATCCAAAATCTAATTACTCCAATCAGAGTTTATGGTGAAAAAAATTATCTTCGGAATAGTCAGGACACTAGCACTGTATGGAAGCCATTTAGTGAAATAGCTTAACACACATAATTGAGATTTAAAATAATTTTATTTCTTCACTTTCTGAAAAAAAACAGGACTCTACATGTCTAATTATACAATATCTCTAAAGATTGGGGAGGGGCAAATTTTTAAAATGGAGATGGGGTTGGCATGTGAATTTGAGTTTTGAAACTTTAATTGTATAGTGCAAAACCAAATCCTCAAGACAACAAAAACACAACAGCACCAGACTTTCTCTGATCTACCAAAGCCCCACATATCCGGACATCCTTTTTTCTACAACTACAAACAGATCCCTTATGAAAGGATATTTTGTAGCCTTCAAATTCACCTTAGTTAGAAACTCATCCAGGGTGGTAGCTTGATACTGATGGATGGCTACATGGGTGGATCTAGGATTTTGAAAAGTGGAGTGCAGATGGTGTGGTGCATCATTACATATAACACAACACACATTGTTATCCAGTTAAAAATAAACTAGAAGCTTTACTAATATGCTAAAGGCCTATGGATGTATTATTCAGTTTAAGAGTGGAACAAAAACAAATATATCTTTATATTTGTTTACTGGAATATACACTGATTTGCTGTATGATCACTTACAATAAACACAACTAGGCAAAAATAATCAAAATATGTTGTTTCATTAGTCCTGCAGTCTTTAGAATTAAATATCTTTTTCAGATTCATAAACAAAAAAAATCTAGCCTTCTTGAGCATCTTGACAGTGCATCCAATGCTTCACTGAAAGTTATTTCCACCCCCGAGTTCTCCTGAATTAATGTTTCCACACCTGAGTTAATGTTTTCGGCTAGTTAAAAACATTCTACACGGCAGTGAAACAGGAGTTACAGTACCAGGAGCAGCTAACAGCAGAACGGCAGAAGAAAGGTAGCTTTATTAGTGGAACATCAGGACCATTAAAAAGGACAGACAGGATTGTTAACACCTGTGACATGAAGAATTTGGAAGGAATCAGATAGATTATAATCAGCCATGAAGTCAAGTAACTCTCTCCCTGCTACCTGAATAGAAATGCTGATCTTACTGCCAAATAGGTGGTTTTAAACTTTGAGTGGATCAGGAATTGAAAGGGGGCAGGGTGCTACAGCACCACTGCACCCACCTGGATCCACCCCAGATGGCTACTGTTCTAATCTACTCACAACTGAATTTACAGATAAAAGGATTCTCTCCTCAACTACAGAACCTTCAGAGGGTGGATCACTTCCAGCTAGAAAATTGGGATGTTCCATTCAAGATCCTGAAGTCTTTGCAATTATGAATAACCTGACTTCCGTTGTTCAGAGTTGGCTGCAGGAGCAACCCAACTGTATTGTTGCTACCAGATACAAAGAAAATATACCCTAAGGAATAGTCCAGATGAAGAAAGCAGCTCTTACCGATTAGCTTTTTACCTCCAGAGTTTTGGGGAAAGAAGTATCTATATGGTTCCTAACCTGTTCCCCATATAAAACAATAAAAGGTGAGAAGAGAAAGGTATAAGGCCAGAACAGGATTTGTACAGGAAAGGTATTCTAGATAGAAGATATGGGTATTGGGTCTGGCTGGCAAAAGATCAAAGAGTGTTGGGGTTATGCTATCCTCCCCAGAAGTTATTTGAACCAGTTACTAGACCACTATGTCTACAGATACAGGATAATAAAATTAAAAGAGGTGTACATCTGAAGTCCTTTTTACATGGTTTCTTAGGAATAATGCTAATGAGAAGATAGGGTGTGTACACGATGTAGCACTCCAAGCTACAGATGCCTCCACTTGTTGGGATGCTGTTGAACATGTACTTAAATCTAACATTGCAGGATTGTTTTATTTCATTCCTCTCAATAACCTAAAAACAGGGCAAGACTTAAAGCTAAAAATTTAGCTTGATCCTCTGATGGGAGAAAGTAATTTGGAGAGGAAAATACTCCATATTTTCATGTTCTGATATCAAAATAAAGGATAACTTTCTTTTGTCACTTAACACACAGGGCAACTGAATCTTATCGAAAAGTAAAATAGGATTTTCTGAGCCCATTTCATTTTTTAAAAAGCACATGAAAAAATACCCTTTTTAATTGAACAATTGATATTCATCTATGAAGATCACAAAGGCTTGTGCATACATTTCTATTTGCATAAATGAAAGTAAAACTACTATTTAAATCAATGAATACAGAAATGCAATAATGTAGAGGCGTATAGTCTACAATAAAGGTAATATAATCAACAGACATACATTCTGCTATCATAGTGATTACTTGTCTCCAGGAGACTGTCTATACAAAGGTACTCACAAAGCTAAGTCAAATAAACTAAAGTTATGAAGGTAACACACGTTACCTTGTATAATGACCTTGTATGGATATTCTCATTCAAAAATATGGTGACCTAAGTTTTATGTAGTTTAACCATCCTCAATGTGCAGTAATTATTCCAGAATAATGTCACCTTTTTAGGGACTATCGTATTCAGATAGAGGTGTTATACCAACACAACTATAGCCAAATAGTTGATCCACTACAGCTATGCCTGTCTACATGGAGAAAGTGACAGGTCATAAGAAAGTCGTATGTAATTATACACTACGGTAAAAGTTGACATTGATTTTATCACTCTCTTTCCTTTACTGCATTCGGTTCCAATGAAATCATTTGCAAACCAATAAACGTACAAGATGAAGTGTGATTGCATATTACCTTTCAAGAATGTTACGGTAAGAAATGCAGGAAATACAGAGTGAAGACTGAACTTCTCAAATAAGGCATAAAAACTATGGTAATTTTGCCCTGAGGAAACAAACAAACAAACAACTCCTACCATCCTTTTTTGCATATGGAGTACTAAAGGCATGCAGTAAACAAAACCAGCTTCGTTTCAGGGTCATTTATCTGATATCGAGAGTGCTGCTTTGTTACCAGGTTAATTTTTAGTGCAAGTAGGTTGATTGATTACCCAACTGACCATACAAAATTTGTACCCAAGAAACTTTGTATTTAGTGACACTTGAAAAACTGGTCCTCATGCTGCATTAAAGAGATTGAGCCATTTCACATGCCCAATTGTATTCTGTCAGCATTTGGCAGGATTAGGCACTTAATGAGTGAATAAAAGACTCTTCTCTTAGATATGCTCTTAATCAAAAAGGGAATTGGCAAAAGTCTTTTACAGGTGTGCTGTATGACTAAAACTGTTGTTAAGTGGCACAGCCATTATATAATTAAGTGAATCTTGTCTATATGGAGATTTATAGGAAACCTGTTTGGAATGAATAAGGCAATATCTTATTTTCTGAGGGGATCTTTCTGAAAGCTATATTAAGGGAGTTTGGGTTCCTTTAAGGAGCACAACTCTGTTTGCATTTCCTTTTTCTTTTTCTATCAACCACAAGGTAGTCTTTTTATACTCCTGAAAATACCATGAATACATCAAGTCAATCTGGCAAGTAACCATGGAAGGTCATTCTCAGCAGTTGCTCCTCAGCTCTGCTACTCTTGAGACCATTTTTCAGAAGCATTGCAAGACCTTCCTATTTGTGCAAGTACTTAGCAAAGCTGAGCCATGATGTTGTTTAGTGGGTCTCTGGTCTGTGTTTTTGATGTTTCAGTCGCCCTTTAAGTTGATCTGTTCTCTTACTGTTAGCGGCCCTGAGTAGCATATAAATTGCATAAATAAATAAATTTCTTGAGATGCAACACAAACTCAGCCTAAATGTGGCAAGTTTGACTTCATCATAAAGATTTTTCTCTAAATACATGGAAAGGATCTTTAGTCATTCTACAGACAGGAGTTTCTATCAATCATAGGATAGGCAGTTTTGTTGGTTTTAGCTCCAGAAAGTCTAGGGAGGTCTAACAACCCCTTAGTCTTCCAGGACACTTTTACACAGGCCGCAATGAGTTCCAATTACAACATGTTGGTGTAGACTCAATTAATCAAGTCTGCTGGAACTTTTTAATTAGAATGCTCCACCGTGCTGCAGCATCTCATGTATTCAGGGACCCACATTTCAAAATGGAGGCAGGGGCTTTAATTAAAGTGCCCCTGCCACCATTTAAATATGGGATGCTGAATACATGAGATGCTACAGACATTTTAATCAGAGCAGCTCCCAAGAGCCACTCTAATTAAAATGCCCCCCTGGAGCACGTATATAGGCA